GGGGAGGCTGTTGTGGTCTGTGCTGACAGGCACAGTAGAAGCACCAGTACCCTTCCAGAGCGGGACTATTATATCAGTGCCTGCAACCCCAACAGGCACAGTTCCATGACTCCTCTCGCCCTTTCTACTCTCCCAGACCAGATTTCTTCGTGGGAGTGATGAAAGAAATGCAATCATCCAAAATGTCTGATGCCAGATTCTCATCCCTCTGGGTTTTCCATGAGGCCTACCCTGTAACACCCCCCCCATCAAAGCGAAGCAGTTTGCACAGTTAGATTTTATGTCTTCCTATGGTGGTTTGGGGTTCCCGTGCCCACAGAAGGGAGAAGTGAACAAATATGCTGCACTGAGTTCCCTGTAATAATTACAGTTGAGTATAATAGGTGGGACTAAGTGACAATACCTAAAGTAGATGAAATCTGTCATCTGTGGTAGTTAATCCACACCAGTCATGATTTTCTAAGTAAATCTCTGTCACATAGTGACAGAGTGACATAGTACCAAGGTCTCCCAAGTCATGACCAACACCACCTCCCTGTAATCCATAAAACACAGCTATAGATCTAGTGGAAACACCACATCTGATGAGATAATGCAAAGGCTTCTCTGACATACCCTAGTTTGCGTACTTATTGATGTATTCAGACATGGATTGCATAAATACAGATGCAGGAGTTTATTTGAGCAGGGGCCATAAATTAGATTAACAAGAATTCAGCACCTTGAATCTGATTTAACATGTAATTATAGTGTCATCTGAATTAATTTCATGTCTGCATTTAATTTGAACTACTGCTTTTCTCGAAGTCATAGCAAGTCTCTACATTTTCTTCAATACACAAATTTGCTATTATTAGAAGCAGCAAAGTATCTCCTATGTACCAGAAAACTCTTTGGACAGTCCCTGCAGACTAATTCTTCCAGTACAGTTGTCTGTACAAAGTTTTGGTTTTGGAGTAAAAGCTATTTTAATGCCAAATAATTACTTTGTTGTAATATATATTGGAAGTATTTTATATTTGTTATACAATAGTTGTAGTACATAGTATCAGAGAAGTATTAGAATCTCATGAATCCACATCTTCATAAGCATAACATTCTCTTGGAAAATGTTTTATTATCTCCTGTCTAAAAAGACTTATCCTAATTTTTAATTATTTATCTGTTTGTTTTGAAAGGGTTTATTGAATCCATAAGAAGAAACAGACAATAGTAGTGTTAGCGCATCACTGTAAGAATTCTGTAACCCATCAGGAAAGTATGATATTCCCATGCTGTGGCACAACATGCCGTCGTTTTTTAGCATTCCCTTCCTGGCCGACTAAGAAAAGTTCACCGTAAAGGCAACGTAAAGCAAAGACAGACGGTGCAACGCCAGAGCGGAGGAAGGGCACGGGGTGGGAAACGCTCCTCGCTGGCTCCCAAGAGCGGGACGCGAGGGCGTGCGCGACCTCAGGCTGCGCCCCGGCCGCGGGCACCGCCCCCACCCCTCGCGCCCGCTCCTGGCGCGGTCCCGCGGCGCCCCCGCGCGGGCGGCACAGGCACTGCTCCCAGCGGGAGACTCCCTAGCGGCAGCGCGGCCGAGGGAAAAGGCACTGATACACACACAGGCATATAGATTTATGCATATACATACATGTATACATGCATAATATGTTACATGTTTAAACCCATGCTGGTCTTTCCTTGTCTTCTTCTTCAAAGGCAAAGTAGTTCATAGAATCATAGAATGATCTGGGTTGGAAGAGGCTTAAAGATCATCTAGCTCTACCCTCGCTGCCATGGACAGGGACACCATCCACTAGACCAGGGTGCACAAAGCCCCACCTAACCTGGCCTTGAACACTTTCAGGGGTGGGGTGTTCACAGTTTCTCTGGGCAACTTGTTTCAATGTTTCACCACCTTCACAACAAAGAATTTCCTCCTAACATCTAATCTAAATCTCTTCTGTTTTAGTTTCAAACTACTCTCCCTTGTCCTATCATTTATCTTCCCATGTAAAGAGTCATTCCTCATCTTTTTTTATAAGCTCTCTTTAAGTACTGAGAGGTCATCTCTTATTCAGAGATGAGCTTGTAAACATACTTGCCCATGTAATTTTTTTAATTTCACAGATAGCCAATGAATTTCCACAGCTTCTGGTGTCCAGATCAATGTGCTGCTATGAAGTGGGTGTCAGCAAGTAGTAGAAAGATTTAAAAAATATTCAGGAACAAGTCTCTGGGAAGAAGAGAGCAGGGATATGAACAGGGAGGGAGATGTACACAAGAACGTGGCTCCAGCTACACCCCAGTTCTAGCAGATAACCGCTGATAGAATCTTCCCTTGGGTCTAAATTGAACAGATTGGAAATAACATTATACTGTCATATACAAATTCCCATTTTTAAATTTAGTAGTGAAAGGAACTGAAGAACCAGCAAAGATGCACCTTCTGTGCTTTACTGCATTACCAGAACAGCACAGGCCTTGAGGGCAGATCTTTTCAGGAATGGCAACAGCATGGAGGTGGTAGCATTAAACCATGTGCAAACTTTCACAGAGGAGTCCAAACTAGCTATCTTCAGAGTAGAAGAGAATTAAGATTCAGTTTTAAGTGTTTTCCAGAAATCAGTTTTCCTTGTCCTTTTTAAAGACACCGGTGATTAAAACACAAACAGCGAAGCCATGCCTAGGTAAGTCTCTAGCTAGACAGAGATATATGAATCTTAGTATATTCACATACATACATATAAATATATACATCCTGGTCCATGACTGAAAGGGAAAGCATTACATGTCAGTCTAACACACTTAGAGAATTGTGTCTGGGAAGTCACAGCTGAATGATTTTGGCTAATCACCAAGTGAGCAATGTCAAACACTGAATGTCTGGACAGTTTCCATTCAAATAACATTTTATCTTGGGCCAACTGTATTTACAAACCACTGGAATGAAATCCCATACTGTCATTTATCCCTTAATAAGAGACGTTATTACAGCTGGGTAAGATGCAAGCTCACTTCTGCATGGAGCAATCCCAGTTCTCCCAGTGGCTGGTAGCTCTCGCTGAGCCTCCCGTGTCCATTCTGCAGGTCTCGCCTGCTCACCTCTATGCATCTTATATGGCATTGACAAAACTAAGAGAGGGATTCTGCAGGTGTGTGTATATTCAGGTAATCTCTGACTTGTTCCCTAAAATTTAAGGTGTCATTTTACATTTAAAGCCTTACTGCACGTTTCAGAAACAACAGACAATAAAAGCAGATATTGGTCCCTATTTGACTTAATGTGCGCATCTAAACCTTCCCTTGCTCTCTGATCCCAGTGGTGGTAAGGAACGGACAAGCTGTAAAATAATCCCATAGACCTACACAACAAGAAGAGGATACAGCATATTCTCACATCTTAGTCTTGCTCTTTGCTTTCTACTTTCTTTTCACCTCCTCTGAATCTCTCTCCCTTTACCTGACCAGTACCTCCTTGGATGGCTATCTGTTCTTAGAACAAAGCCCCTGCACCTACTCCCCCATTGTGACATATTCCCATAGAGCCCAAAAAGGCATCAAAAAATCAAATAAAAAAGCTTTGGTTTTGAGGCTGAAATGGGCACAATTCCTTGCATTCAACACCTTCAACAGAAAGACCTATTGCCAGATTTGAGTAACTTGCCCAATATCGGTGTAGGAAAGCCTGGATTATGTCTGTTGATATTTAAAAGCAAAAAGTATTTTTTTCTGTAACAAAGTGGGACAGATTCTTTTCAGAGTATCATTATTAGGATATCATAAAAGAGAGTTTGGCCAGAACCTTTTCAACACTTGTCTAGAAATTTCTCCATGTAAGGAGGCATATGGGTCAGTATGACATTCTGCCATGAAAGTCTCAAGCAAGCTTGCCTTTGAATATATTATTGGGATCCATCTAACCACAGGTGAATTTCAGCTGCATATCGCAGTAGATAAACCAGTTCCACACATTAAAAAAAAACAAACAAACAACTAATCTCTTTTAGGCTTGTGTGTACATACAAGTTCAATCCAATGTCATTCCTGCATTGGTTTGTAAAGAAAATAGAAGGAACAGAATCATAGAAGCACAGAAATGTTTGAGTTGGACAGGACCTTTGAACATCATCTAGTTTCAACCACTCCCTGCTGTGGGTAGGCACATCTTTTACTAGATCAGATTGCTCAAAGCCTGACCTTGAACATTTCCAGTGATGAGGTATCCACAACTTCTGTGAGCAACCTCTCTGGTGCCACACCACACTCAGTATAAAGAATACATGTAAGCATAAATGCACTCTGTAATGTCATCTCCACAGCCACTATACAAAGTTTTAATGTCCCTAAGGGGACGGGATGCTTTACTGCAGAGGTCTGTAGCAGTAACAAGATCCTCAACATCTCACGCTTGCAAGTATTTAAAGCAATAAAGTACTTGACTACCTAGTTTTCTAACAATGGTCTAAAGCTTGAATTGAGACTTGGAACATCACATTTTAGTCTGAAGACAGTCACATACCTGTGCTGGAGCTGACACTTTCTCATGGGATTTATGTTCCAATAACAAAAATCCCCTGGGACGTGGGTGTTGTGGAGTTTAAGGCAGGGGAGAAGCACAGATGCTGAGTTTTGACAGTGAAAGGGAGTCACAAAATTGCTAACTTCCATGCTATTTGGCTTCAACCATTGATGTCCACAAACTAGCCAGTGGTGGTTTTTTGTAGTTATGCTCCTGACTGTGAGAGGCAGGCATGTGTGAGATACTTATACCAGCTCTGAAGCACTGGGACTACCCGGGGAGATCTCAGCTCTTTGCTCAGAGTCAGACTGATAGGAGGCACTAGTCCAGTGGCCAAATTTAGTGGTTTGATGAAGAGCTGGGCATTTCCAAATACTAATACTAGTGTCCAGCTCCTAACAGGAGCTTTGCCATAGTCCAGCTCCGCAAAGCGAGGGACTCAGAAATTGCAACAGTCTGAGCAAACCTTCTAACGTGCCATCATTTTTTTCAGGGAAAAAAAGTAGGGAGGAAAAGAGAAAAAAGTCCAACAAAGATGAAAGCAAGGAGACAAGACAGGAGAGCAAAGGTCAAGCAGCCCGAAGACAAAACCGAGAACAGAGGGAAAACAACAACAAAACCCAGTCGAAGAAAAGAAAAGCCCCAAATAAAGAACAGGACCTGGCACCTGTTGACACTGCACATTAACAGCCCTCCATGATTGTTTAAGTCTTATGATGCTGCTATCTCTACCAGATCGCCCTGACAGGTGTTCCAACCATTCAGGCCACAAATGGACAATGCTACCAGTTATTATTAAACTTTAAACAACATTCCAAATACTTCCTATATTCTCCAAGCAACCATAGTTTATTAAAGATTGACATGAGCCAAGGAAAACAAAATCTAAAGATGGGATACTTTAAAACTGTTATATTATATGCTTCTGTGCATCTGTAAAAGGCAATTAAGAAATTTTGTATATATTAATAATAGGGTATAAAATATAGCAATATAATAATGAATTACATTCAGATGAACAATGTTCTTTTTTTTGTAAAATATTTTTCAAGTTATTGTTTAAGTATGAGGCAAGAGATATGTCTAAATCAAAGACAAAAATCGTATCCCTTCATATATTGTACATAAGTATTAAGAGAAGGAGGAAAATGTTTCTGAAGAGCCAGTAGAAGCCTAAGGTTTTATAAGCTCTAGTGAAGCAGGATGGGATTGCCCTGTGGTTTCCTGGTCCATGCTTCAGATATGGGTGAGAAACATCAGGGGAAAGCCAGCAAGGCTTCACTAGCTGAGGGAGAAGAAGTAGAAACATCTGCAGCTTTGAAGACTGAATCCCTGAGGCAGAAGGCAACTGAGCTGAGCTTGAACAGTGCTCTTATCTGTGGGACAACACAATGTTTTCTGGTCTAAACAGTGGTACCGTGTGTGCTGTTTTATGCTTTTTATACCTATGTGTAACTTAAGTCTACATTTCAAATCTTCTGGTGAATGACAAATCGTATTTGTAGGAGACAATGTTGAGTTAATAAAAACCAGAAAAGTAGATCATGTAAGTATGTTTTTCACAGTGATGGTGTCACTTTTTCTACTGGGGGAGTGAATCATTTCATAGCTTCACAGAGAGAAGAGGACACAACTCACATCCACAACGTGTATCTAATGGAAGAGTATCCACGATAATAAATCTATAGAAGTATAGAAATTACGAACTTTTGTCCAACTTTTCTTAAACTCTTATTCTAGTTCTTTTCTCTTACACAGCAGAGGTGAAAATCTGCACTTCTCAGAGGACAAACCAAACCCTGTGGTACCATTCTGGGTATATTCATGGCTAGAGTGGCCCATGAGTGAAGCACAAGTTACGCTATTATACTGACTCACTGCTCAGAAACGGATTTACCCTTTACAGAAATATGTTGAGGAACCTACATAACTCACAGAATGTGTTTTGTTGCCATGCTCTGGCCAAGGACAGCTGTCATAGGGGTGACAGCCTGCCCACTGTGGTGCGTGGACTAGAACAGGTGGCAGGCGAGCCTTCCCAGTCAGTTCTTGTCCCTGTTCACTATTTCTGTTTCTCAGACTGAGTTGGACCTAAAAAAGACACTGCCCAACACTGAAGCCTGTCTCTCAGACTGAGGAAGCCTGAATGACAGGCTTCAATGACTTTTCAAGGAATATTCTAGTCATCCAGACAATGATGTAGGATAGTTTCCTACATTTTGCTTTGTTAAAGCTTTGTCTCTTAATTATACATGGGCAGATGCAGTCGTCTAATGGCAGTGGGTGTTTAAGACTCCCACAGTTTACCTCCAATATTCATGAGAATTAATCAAAACTTTCTGTAACCAGTCCCTGATTATATGCATATATTATATCTTTGATGTTGAGAAGACCTAAAGGCTGAATTTTACAGAGATTAGCATCAAATGCATGTAACAATCCTCTCATACAATGGAGTCTTAATGGGTAAGACAGAAAAGCAGGGTGTGCTGAGTGCCTGTGAGGGGCACCTAGTAGTGGGAAACTGGAGCAGGGGTGGCTATTTATGAGCTCCCAGCTCCATCACATAACTTGTCTACACCCTCCTCCACAGTGAGCTGGTCTCAGTCTCCCACTACTGATCCTAGTAGCAGTAGTCATCTTCCTCCACCAACAACTTGCACCTTTTGGCAGCAGCAGCTGAAAAGAAGTTGGTCTCAGAGAAGTGGAGGGGGTAGGACCTGTGCTCAGCACTGAGGCTCTGAGTGATGCTGAAGGGAGGTAGAGAGAGGAAAGGAGCAATCACACTGCTGCCAGATACAGAAGCTGGCAATAAAAGATAAGGTGCAAGCAGCAATTCTGGGCTGAGAGGTGTTGGCATCACAACAGAAAGTAGAACCCGGTGCTTCAAACCCTCACCTGCAGCTGCAGTCTGTGGTGCTGGTGGGCAGGCAGGGATGTTCAGCTGATTGGGAAAAATTTGTTGTTCAATTTACTTCCTTTAAACAGGTTTTTGGTCAGATGAAGCATCTCTGCCTGGATTCAGCAAATTAGACTGGCAGTGGGACTACATGAATAGCTGAACCCAGGGAAGCTTTGTCTGCAACTCTTAAAACTAACAAGTAGGATTATGTCTGTTCCCTACTTTAATTAAATATAGGAGCAAAATGGCAAAGGGTTTTTGGATGGAAGAATGGCTTTTGATAGAACCATAAGCAAAAACTATAAAAATGAACATGAGTGTTCAGAGAGGATGCTAAAAATAAGGAAGCAAAACAAGATGGTATACTCAGAACATCCCTGATCTCAGTTTTTCTCTACTACAACATTTGGACGAGTCAAAGGAATGTCATTTTTCTGGCAAAGATGGACACAAGACTGGAAAAGCAGTATCAAGTAGTTCAAGAGCTACAAATCAAAGGAAAAAAAAAAAAAGAGGGAGACAGGAAAAGAAAATAATTTAGGATTCAAATGTGAGCTTTGTTACACACTGTCACATAAACCTTTTTTACAAACTCCCAATTTACACAAGTGGTAGTGACAAGAGAGATGGTCAGTCTTACCAAGAGCAGGACTTGGAATACTATTGCCTTTGAGCAAGTTATAGAAATGTAAACAGAATTTGGCCCATAGCAGTAATAATATATAGTAATAGCACCTGAAAAACCATGTTAAACATTTTCTGGAAATGAACAAGGAAGTTGCTGTCATGTTGTTCCCTCCCACACAGGATAATGTTTGATAATATTGCCTGTAGCCATGGTGGAGCACTAAAAAGTACATGCCCAAAATCCTTTGGGCAATTAAATTTTTCTCGAGTCCCAGCACTGAATGTAGACTCCATTTGTACTCCCAAGAAACTAATGAAGAATATGGACCTTTTAGGCCAAATGAATTACAATGACACCTTTTGCCACCCAGTGGCAAAATCAGAAGTCCATGATCTTACATACTAACCGAAGAAGAGCTAGTGGGGACTCATAGGACCTTATTGGAGAAGACCTGATTGAGTAGTACAAGTAGCTGTGACTAAATCTATGTGAAACTTCTTCTCTGACAATTGCTTTCCAGTTACAAAATACCTCAAAACCTTAAGAGTTAATTTTAAGCAATTCTCCGAGAATTATGAACAACTTTTCTTCAAATGGGAGCTAAATTGAATGGACATTAATTATCAGCCAAATTCATAGTGTGTTAATTACTAAAGAACATGGCTGAAATTAAATAATAAATATCGGTTAAGGTCAGTAGATAAAAACAAATCAGGTGCTATTTCTGACAGTTAAGCTGCTTGAGGAATTGTAATCAGTAACAAAGAGATAGAAAAATACAAACACCAACTGTTATGTCCCAGGCTTCAGACCTGTCTGACCAAGCTGTAGCTTGTTCTCTCCCCTGGCTCCATGTTACTGAAGCTCTGAATAAGGGAATCCAGTGTTAAGGTATCGTAAAGAGTTTAAGTGCTGAACTGCTGAACCCTTCACTGAATTTGTCCCAGCAGCTGTATTCTGAGCCACCACAGCTAAGTTGCCAGGCTGACCAATGCACTAAATAAATGAGAGGTTTTGCTGTACCCTGTAGCAAAGTGGCAGCAGAAGGACCCATCAGTAGAATGGGACACTCATCATCACTAGGCATCCCCCACAATGAAGGTCTTGTCTCGTATACTCTACTAACAGCCTCTGGATACTTGCGGTTGATGTGCTGACAGGAAAGCAGCACATGAATATTGTTATTAATTCAGAAGAATTCCTCTATAGCCCTCATGAGTCACTATCATTTATTTTTTGCTTCTGTGGTTTTAGGCTCTGAAACTTACTGAAGGCTTAACTTTCTGATGCAGCATGAATTTACCATGACACTTGTACTTAACTGCTGTGCATTGCTATTTGTAGAGACAGCACTGCATTTAGTTCACATGGTTCACATGAACTTGCACAAATTCAAACAAAAACCTCTGCACAGGATGACGTAACAGCTGATCATGGGAGCCACTCTTCACAGTGACATTCTGCAAGCGTCAGCTGCAGCTTCAGCCTTTCCTAAGTCCAACAGCAAGGGCTTGGTCACATTTTCAGGCTCAGATTTGTTACTTCACTGCTGTTACTTAGCACAAAGCTTGCACAGAAAAAACCTTGCACTTTTACGCAGTAAGCACACTCTGCAGTTACACATCTTTAAATAATTCTCCCATATGGACTCTTGTTAATGGGGGAGTTAGATTTTTTCCTAGTATTTTTCAATAAATTAGCATAATTTAAAGAGAAGTTAAGTCAGCATGTTTGTTCACCATTATAATAATCCATCTGTCCCTTACATCTTCCTCTCCTAACTTAGTTGTGATATTCCTAGTAGGTTTAAGTCTGCCCTTTCAGATCTGGAATGCTAATTGTATTTCAGAAACAAGAGTACCTATTGATTGCCTTGACACAGAAATTTCTGGGTTTTCATGGGCAGATGAAATATTTGTTGATAGTGTTCTATAGAGTATTTCAAAGTACTGACAATGTCCATATCAATCCCTCATACATTCAGTTTCCTAAAAATCAACCCTCTGCACTCCTGCAGAAGGCTGGGTGAAAGTGAATCTTGCCTGAGAAACATTAGTTAAATATCTTTTAGATATAAAGCTGTCTGAGAATGATCATGCATATCTCAGCAAGAAAAGGGGCATTTAAGGATGTTTGAAATTAACCATCTGGTGATGCTTTTTAGAATTTACTAAATATTTCCAAGGAGTATCTTTAAAATATATTTCAGCTCTGTGGTTCTGTTTCCAGTTCAACCTTACATCACACAATCTGGCCTGTTTATGGAAAGGTTATAACAGGTATAGTACTCTCCACTTTCCCAATGCATGCACACATCTGCACTTACATTATGCATATACCTAAATTTCTCTGACAATTACTAAACTACTCACACAGACACTGTAAGTGGATTTGGGTTTAGATCATTAACCATTGTCCTTTATGACTGACTTTTCTTCAGTTAGGTACACATACTTTCTGAATTTGCTGTCACCAGCCAAACTTTTGAAGCTCTGGTCATTGTGGTCACACAAAAAAACGAGTGGTCTCACATTCACCTCTCTTCTTGCTTCTTCCTCTTATCCTCTCCACTGTCCACCTAAGTGTCCTCTTTCTTCTGCATTACCACCGTTCTTCTCCTACTTCTGATCCACCTTGGATATCCTCACTGACGGATCTGTTGCCCGAGTTGGAAACTGAGTGTATTTGATTTCTGAGTCTCTATCTTTCTGAATCTTCTTCCTTCTCTTCACACTTCTTCCCTGCTTATCTTACTTCAGTTGGTTCTTCTTATGAAGGCTATGAAATAAAGCAAAACTGTCTTGCTACCAGACTTGCTTGTAATCATGTTTGCCTGGGGAGAGGAGGGTAGGGTAAGCAGTCTCTCTTGGATAAAATCGGCGGCACGACTTTTTCTGTAGTCACTACTGTGGAGGCAGAACAAACTCTGCAGGTACCATCAGAATATGAGGCAATATAGCAAGGACAGGATGGGAAAGAGTTGCAGCTGGTCTGCCACCTTTAAAAGGGTGATGTAAACAATATTAAACTAGCAACAGCAACCAAGTTTTCTTGTATAAAGGTAATAAAGCACTAGGATAAATGATCCCAGAATTAAACCAATGGGTTTC